CATATTTGGAAAAACGAACGTTATGGGGCAGATATTCAAATTCATTAGTCATCGATGCAGGCTCTCAATTCAGCTTGAGAGCCTGTTCGCAGGCTACAATGAGTCTAGAATCAGAGATGCGATAACTGTTTCCAATAACCAGGGACGTCGGAAAAAGGGGGCGCAGGGGAAGGGCATTACCTCTTCCTTTGAATTCTTTACACAAAGTTTAAAAATTATACGTGAAAGGCTACTACGGCAAAAAAGTCCAAGTTTTAGAGGCCGCGAGTTGGACTTAATGTACTCATGTACATCAAATTGTCCGGTACCTTGATAGCGCATAAAACAACTTCTAAATTTGCACCCGATGAATTCAAATCGGGTTCTAAGCCTTCCATTTCTGTGCGCACGCCATTTTTAAAGTGGTTTTTAAAAACAACCCTCCTGCACTCGAAAATGTTCTTTTCAAAATAATTTTAGTGGTAACGATAATAGCAGACCCCAAACAGATGATTCCAGGTATCTACTAATTTTTGATCAAGACAACAAAGACGAAATATATCACTATTATAGTTCAAAAGAGCATCCTGAAATTAGCAAAATTGCAAAGTTTGGTGGCAAATTGTTGTAAAATGCGGAAAATATAGCCCTGTGGAATTAGAAAAGTTTGAATATTTGATATTACGCGCGGTAAAAATAACCATTCTTGAGCCGAAAGTGGTTATTTTCATCGCGCGTAATACTAAAATATTCAAAATTTGCTCATTTTACAGGGCTATATTTTCCGTATTTTACAACATTTCGCAACCAAACTTTGCAATTTTACTAAATTTTAGGATGCGCTTTTGAGCTATAATGATATATTTCGTCTTTCTTGTCTTGATAAAAAATTAGTCGATAGCTGGAATCATATAGCTACTACCCATGCTTGCATAAAGTTTTCACATATTTTGCGGAATTTGCAGTTTAGCGAACATTCTCAAACTGTGCGCTTTATTTTACACACCCTGTGTATATAACGTATATGACGTCAATGCAGGAAAAATATCAGTATCAATAATATAAACAAATTTGCTGATGGCAGGTGCTTACTCTGTTCTCAGGGTACGAATTGTACTGCAATCAATTTGTCAACTGGTACTAGTTGTATTGATTATGAATTATTTTGCATGCATACGTGACAATAGCAACAACAATTAACAACAGCAACAACAACGGCACAACAGCAACAGCAACAACAACGGCAACAACAGCAACAGCAACAGCACCATCAGCAAGAGCAGCAGCAAGAGCAGCAGCAACAGCAACAACAGCAGCAACAGCAACAGCAACAACAACAGCAGCAACAGCAGCAACAACAGCAACAGCAGCATCAACAGCAACAACAACAACAACAACAACAACAAAAACAACAACAACAACGACAACAACAACAACGACAGCAACAACGACAACAACAACAACAGCAACAGCAACAGCAACAACAGCAACAACAACATCAACAACAACAACAGCAACAACAGCAACAACAGCAACAACAGCAGCAACAACAACAGCAACAACAACAGCAACAACAGCAGCAACAGCA